GTAGGAATGAATCTTAATGAACCCAACTATGGATGTGGACTCCTCAAATCCTATGTCCTCCATCACTTTTGACCAACATAAACCAACATAAGCCTTATTTCCTTGTATGACTTTTCTTTCATCCCCCACAAACTCAAGTAGGCTTTGTGGATTATGCCTATTACTTTGGAGGTAAAAAGAGTAAAAAGAGTAAGCTCCTCCTGCGCTCTCTGGGACCTCATGTTACATTTATTCATCATGATCAAAATTAGTATTTAATGCTCTGTATTACAGATTTTGTATTGTTTATCCAAAATGGGAGTATCAAGAGCCATCAAGCTCACCATCACTGCTCTAAGTCAGGGGCTGGCAACCTATAGCTCACAGCCAGAAGCAACTCATCACTTGAAATTGTCTGGCCAGTAATTTCAAAAACAAATATCGTATTCATCTGGCCAATGATGATCCTAAAAAGAATTCAGGTTTGCAATGCTGTGTGTTTGTAATGCTGTGTGGACAGCATTATAAGTGTGTAATTAATTAATTCATAAATAAATAAATAAAAACAAATGTGTATGTGTGTAGTGTAGTGTACTATGGTTACTGGGGTTTCTTTTTTTGTACCTTCATAACCATTTCTTTCCCAATCACGAGAGGCAACCAAGACTCACTTTCCCCTTTGGCTGCACTTCTAGCCTTCTCTAGTCCATCCAGTCTCTGGGAATTGGGCAGCTTACAAATTTAATAAATCATCATCTCTGCTTAGTTTGGGATCTAGGCTTAAAAATCTGTGGTTGAACATACTTGACTTATTCTCCCCTTGTCACTCTAATGGTCCAAATAAGCTTCTAGTTTTGCTCACAGATTTCTGACACCTATTTGATATATAGATAGCTGGGTCAGCAGCCAGCCTAAGAAAAGGCAAAAGAGCATATCTAATTAATATTTGAATGGCAACCAAGGAATACCATCCAAATAAACCCAAAGAGAGCAAATATCTGAATTCATGCTTACCAATTTAGAAAGATTCATATCTCTCAAGACACGCATTACAATAGTGGTTTCAGTGTCACTGGGGTTCGATCTTTTGGCTGCACCCAAGGTCCGTAGTACTGACAATATATTTCTGAGACCAAAGTCATAATGTACCTACAGATAAAACAAAAGGTTCTAGGTATAAAGGAACAAAATTAAAGCAAGGATGCAAACAGACATTCTGTGTTCCAACACCTGTTGGCTTAGAAATAAAGACATTACTCAGTTGAAGACCTGCTACTGAAAATGATAGAGTGAACTGTAATCAGCTCAAAGTTCCCAATAATAACAGTAAATTATCTTGCCCATAATGTCACATACAGTAAATGTGTGGTAGAACAAAATATATGCTAGCAACTAGCAACAGTAATACATAGAACAAATGTGGAGAAATATAGTATACATTTGTAACACTGTTAAAATAAAGATTGTTTATTGAAATAGAATTGTTGAATAAACAGGAGGCTGGTATTACTCTCAGTGACTAGTTACTTGTAAATAGTGATTTAAAAAGTATATACACCAGCCTATCTTAATGCTGAAATACTAGGAACCTCTGGAGACTTTGCTTCAAGATAATAAACTGAGAGAAAACATAAAATTTGGTGTACAAAACTGGTTTTATCAGACTATTTTCAAATATTTGGGAAAGCAAATTATCTGTTCTATCTTTTGATGGAAATTTTATTTAAAAAAAAAAGCAAGCAAAGAAAAGGTAAGTGAAAACATGCCTCTCATTCTTTTTTTAAAAAAAAAGTCAGACAAAATGTATCAGTGCTTCAATAAAAACATAAAACTAGAAATAAAGCATTCATTTTTTTAAAAAAGGGATTATTTTGCTAGAGAAAAATAATTATTTTTTGTTTATTTTGCCATGATATGTTTGTTCAAAGGCATAGTCCAGTACTAGAAGGAAAAAGGACAACCAGTAGTAAGGTGGCTGGAGTTAATTACAGCAGTGATGGATGCAATGTTGGACAACCTGAAGAGGCCAAATTGGGGACAGATCTTTCTGGAGAAAATCAATGTTGTCACTAGAATCAACACTAATTTGATGGTACATAATCAGTCATAGGCAAGGACAGATCTTGTCCTTTCTCATTTAACAAAACATTCATTAAATATTGCTTGGTTTGATATTAAAATAAATGCGATAAAATATTTTCCAAGGATTTCCAGTTTCTTTATCCCACTTTTTTCCCCCTTTGGCTGTGATGCACCTTGCAAAGAAGTCATATTTAAACTTAAATCTCAAAGGAATGTTTTGAGGAATTTTTTGTTATTTTAGACTGTTGATGAGCTATTCCTTGCCCTCCAAAATGAGTGTGAGTCTTAAGGTTATTCTGTAGCATTATCATTCCTAAGAACTTCATCGCTAGAGCTGCTGGCATCTACAGCATTTAATTTCTACTTCACGCTTGTTGTTTGGGCTATTTCCAGAACAGAATTGTTCATAAAAGATAATTTCTCCTACCTGCTTAGACAATTGTTCTTCACAGAGTTTATACAGAGTGAAGAACTTCCTTGCAAGCACAATGTTATCAATGAAGCCACAACTAGCCAATTTGACACGGATGATGATCTGGCGATCAGGAACCATCATTGCCACTGAGCGGAAATTGATTTTCAGGTTTTCAGGTAACTCTTGACGACCAGCATACCCAGGGTTCTGATTTAAACATAGCATTATCAACTGATTTAGACTTCAGACATAATTTTCAGAATTTCTTTTACAGGTTCTACTTTGCATACAAAGCTAACAAATATACAGTATATGTAATTGGCATTCAATATAGTCTTCCTTAGTGGGAATTCTAAAACACCCTGCCAGCCCCAATTCCAGCACAAACGATCATGCTCAGATAATCATGCTCAGATCATGCTCAGATAATCATGCTGTACTTCAGACATATTTTCTGTAGATCTAACCCTATGAAGACGTATTTAGTATTTTAGTATTTATTTGATTTGTCAATCGCTTACAAGATACAGGTATAAGAATAAATATAGTTTTGAATACATGAGATAGATACTTATAACAAAAATAAAAAGCAATAGGACAGGGATGGTAGGCACGATTGGTGCGCTTATGCATGCCCCCTACAAGCCTCTTAGGAAGGGGATGAGATCAATAGTAGACAGTCTAAGGTTAAAGTTTTTGGGGTTTGGGGAAGAAACCACAGAGTCAGGGAGAGTATTCCAAACATTGACCAGTCTGTTGCTGAAGTCGTATTTTCTGCAGTCAAGTTTGGTGCGATTAACCTTGAGTTTGTATCTATTGTGTGCTCTTGTATTGTTATGATTGAAGCTGAAGTATTCATTTGCAGGTAGGACATTGCAATGTATGATTTTATATACTATATTTAGATCGGATCGGAGGTGGCATAGTTCTAGGTTTTCTAGGTTTAGAGTTTCAAGTCTGGTGGCATATGGTATTCTGCAATGAGTAGAGGAGCAGAGAACTCTTCTTGTGAAATATTTCTGGACTTTTTCAATTGTGTTAATATCAGATACATGATATGGGTTCCAGACTGATGAGCTGTATTCAAGTATAGGTCTAGCAAATGTTTTGTATGCTCTAGTTAGTAGTGTGATATTACCAGAGAAGAAGCTACGTAGGATTAGATTAACAACTCTTAATGCCTTTTTGGCTATGTAGTTACAGTGGGCTCTAGCACTTAGATCATTTGAGATGAGTATTCCAAGGTCCTTGACAAAGTTTGGATCATCAACAAGGTCTTGACTATTTAGCTTGTATTTTATTTTCTGATTTTTTCTGCCAATATGTAAGACAGAGCATTTATTTGTTAGATTTGAAGTTGCCATTTGATTGACCATTCTGATACATAGTCAAGGTCTTTTTGGAGGGTAGTAGTATTGTCTGTGGTGTTGAATAGCTTTACATCATCAGCGAAGAGAATGCAGTTGCGCTTAATATGATCACAGAGGTCATTTATGTAGAGTATGAAGAGAGTTGGTCCTAAAACACTGCCTTGGGGGACACCACTGTTGACAGGTACAGAATTTGATAGGATGCTCCCAATTTTGACCATTTGTTGTCTGTTTGACAGGAATGCTTCTATCCAGTTATGTAGGTGTCCAGAGATACCATGAGATTTTAGTTTTAGTAGTAGTTTGTCATGTACCACTGAATCAAAGGCTTTACAGAAGTCTATGTAGATTGCGTCTATTGCTTTGCCCTCATCGAGTTGTGTAGTCCATATGTTTTTGCAGTGTAAGAGTTGCAGATTACAGGATAGTTTTTTTCTGAAACCAAATTGTTTATTAGAGAGTAGGTTGTTTGTCTCTAAGTGGAGGATAATGGATTGGTTAATAATTGATTCCATGACTTTATAGTGATGCAGCATAAGGAGATTGGTCTGTAATTTTCAATTAGGCTGGGGTCTCCCTTTTTGAAGATGGGGATGACCGTGGCTTGTGACCATAGTTTTGGCAAGGAGCTGGTCCTGAAAGATTTTTCAAAGATTATGCTTAGAAGTTCAGCTATGGCAGTGGATAGCTTTTTTAAGAAATAGGCACATATTCCATCTGGTCCAATAGATAGGGATGGTTTTAGATTGTGCAGTGCTTTTTCAACAATGTCTTCTGTAAAATTGATATGTATTAGATTATTGTAGTTGTCTGTGGTTCGACTAGGAAGTACTGGGCTTGATCCATTGCTGTTTACAAATACTGAGCCAAAGAATGTGTTAAAGAGGTTTGCTTTGATGGTGTTGTCGTTGCAGTCTTTGCCATTAGGTCCTTTCAGGGGTGGGATAGACCTTGAGTATTTTAGTTTGTTGTTTACAAAATTAGAAAGCACGGGTGGAATTGGTGCGTAGAAGGTTTTCCTCTTGTTTAATGTGATAATTGGTACATTCAGTTTTTATCTGGTGGCATAGATTTTTGTATCGGCTTTTGAAGTTGGCAACGTGACCATATTTGTTTTTCCACCAGAGTGATCTCCTTTTGGATTGAAGCTTCCTTATTGTTATGGGTAATTTGGTTTTCCTAGTTTTGGGAGTTGTTATTGGTACATATAGTTTGATGACTCTTTTGATTTCTAGTAAGAATATGTTGGAATGGTCTTCAACACTATTGCATCCAGTGAATAGAAATTAGCAATCAAGGGAAGAGAGATCATTGATTATAAGATCATAGTTGCCTTTTTTGAAGTTATAATTGGGAATTTTGTCGTTGTGATGATTTTTGTTTGGACGTATGTTGAGACAAAAGTCAATCATGTTGTGGTCACTGTTGGAAAAGGTTCTTTAATTTGTATTCTGTAAATTGAATTCAAACTATTGCAGAAGATGAGATCGAGGCAGTTGTTAAATCTAGTGTTGTTGGTTACTAGTTGTTCTAGTCTCAGATTTGTTACTGCATTGTAGAAGGTTGCATGTAGGGGTTCAGTTGTACATTCATTTAGGGTTCAGTTAATATGAGGTAGATTGAAGTCACCAAGAAAGATAAAAGCATATGGGCAGGATGCTGCCCATGTTAGTAGTGTATTTAGCTTGTTTACATGTTTGATGACATAATCAGGGGCTCTGTAACATAGTAAGAACCAAAATGTGATTTTTAAGGACAGTTCACAGATAATGGTCTTAGGAAGAGCAAGCTCTTGGGTAACTTGGATGTTTTTTTAGATGTAAGGACTTTTTATAGAAGATAGCAACACTCCTTCCTCTACGGATTTCATGATCGGATCGGTAAACATGATCGTCTCTTACTGAGGTAATGGAGTCAGGGAGAGATGCGTTGAGCCATGTTTCACAGACAAATATGATGTCAAATTTAGCTGTATTTAGTAAGAGGAGAAATTCAGGTATTTTATTTACATGCTCGTCTATCTACCATTATCTACCATGCTCAGAAATGTGGAAGGAAAGAGAAATAGCAGGTGACCAAAAGTCTTCATTCTTGATTTATGAGGTTAGAAAAATGGCTACAATTTGAAAATTGTAATAGTTTGAGCAAAACTTACAAGTATTGCCTGAAAAGCAAGAAATATATTTTTTCCTGGATTTCCTCTTACAAGAGCAACTGATACCCAAAGAACTTTGAAATGTTCAAATTCCTTCAAAAATAGATATGGATAATGTGCCAGCAGCTTGAAAACCGGATCTCGTGACCTATATGATTTTAGAGCATTTTCTGGGTCTGCACCTTGAATATGGAAGACCATATAACCCCAAAGGTAAAGAAATACAGGCAGTCCCCAAGTAATTATTGCAATGGAGCCTGTCTTTTATAGTCATAATGTTAATTGAATCACTTTAAATGAATGAACCGCATCCCTCCTTTCCCCAATGCATTCATTAATTGAATCCTTGGGTCATTAAGTGTGCTTGAGGTACCTCATGGGTGGAGAAAATCAGGAGGGGGGCTAGTACAGGAAAAGACCATCTGCCTCTGGCCACCCAAGGCCTCCCCACATCCACTGAGATATCTCATGCTCTCCTTCCCATCCCATAGTACCATGATGGCGAACCTATGGCACACGTGCCACAGGTAGCACGTAGAGCCATTTGTACCGGCACATGAGGTGCAGGCAAACTTACCCCACTGTGCATGTGTACGCCTCACAGATGATTTTCGGCCGGTTTGAGGCCTTTTTTGGCCTCCCAAAGGCTTGAGGAAGGCTTCTGAAGGCTTCTGCTGGCTTTGCAGGCCGAAAACTAACCCCGTTTTGTCACTTCCTGTTTTTCTGAAAATACCGGAAGTGGCGAAATGAAGCCTCTGGGAGGCTAAAAAAGGCCTCAAACTACCCAAAAATCAGCTGTGAGGCACAGTGCAGGTAAAGGGGGTGGCAGGGGTGGGTGGGTGGGGATTGCATGTGCATGTGTAGGGGGCGTGGGCAGAGCGCATTGCCTTCTGGGTGCTGGCACATGAGCACAAGCGTGCAAGCGCATGCAAAATTTTTGGCACAGGAGCCCAAAAAGGTTAGCCACCACTGCCATAGAGTCTCAATAGCTGCTTCAGCCTTCTCCACACTTAGCTTTCAAAGATCAGCAGAGCTCAGGAGTATGTGCAAAAAAGCAGCTTTCTTCTCAGATGCAGGTAAAGCTATTTTCTTTAGATCTTGTGTTCTTCTGTCCCCTTTGGAAAAAGCTTGTCCTGCAAATGACAGAGGCCTGCAGTAGTGCAAGATTGCACCTCCAAAGGCTTCTGTCCTATTTACAAAAGCTTTTGGCGCAGAGGGCAGAGGTCTGCAGTGGCACAACATCGTACCCCTGAAAGCTTCCATCCCCTTTGCAGAAGCTTTTGACACAGAGAGTGGAGGCTCCATTCTCCATACAAAAGCTTTTGCAAAGGGGATGAAAGCAGCGGTGGGATTCTCCTTGTTCGGACCAGTTCGGACCGGCTCTAGCTTCGATGATCAGTTGTCTATGAACTGGTTCGCTATGTGGGCCTGCCCACCTGCCCCTGTGCTGTACTCACCTCTATCTGTTCAGCTGATTTGCACAATAGAGTGGATTGCCGCACCTCCGCTGTGTTACTTCCCCAAAGTAACATCAAAAGTAAGTAATTTCAGAAGCTGCGCACATGCGTGCAGTGCATGCAGTGCGTGTCAGGCGCTCACGTGTGTCAGTACGCAATTTGCAAACCAGTTGTTACACTGGTAGCATCCCACCACTGGATGGAAGCTTTTGGGACTGCAATCTTATGCCCCTGCAAGCCTCCCTCCTATGCACCAAAAGCGTTTGCATTGGGGATGGAAGGTTGTGTAAGGACACAAGATGAAATTAAGCAGCTTCATCAGTGTCTGAGAAGATGGTTGCTTTTCTGCCATATGGCCCAAACCTCTGTCGATCTTTGAGAGGTGAGTGAGTGACTGGTGACAGGATGGGGAGAAGCCGTTGGACTAGCATAGCTGGCCCAGTGCTTGTTAGGACCTAGTGGGGAGGGAATACTAGGCAGAGGGCATGTTGCAGCATCTCTGCGGTTTGTCATAAGGGTGAATGTCTGCTGTGGTGCTGCAATGTTTGTAATTTTGGGACTAGGTTATAAGTACTTTTGGGGATGGTATCAAAACTGTGAACTCTCATAACTTAAGGACTACCTGTATTTTTCTCTTGACTGGAATCAGAATGTTTGTGTTATTGAGTTCAGAGTAGGTCAGAGCTAGAAGTTCTAGAAAAGTCTTAACTTCATATGTGATGTTGATAAACCACTCTATTTAGAGTACTCACCATTGTCAAAAAAAGGCCAAATTCAGGATTCATTTCTACATTATCACCATCAGTGAAAATGAAGTTCTTCTTGCGCTCTTTCTTACAGGTCAAAACAACTGCAATTTGCTGGGCAGCAACAGACAGCACTGGTAAATCAATGCGGTTAAATTCATCAAAGCAGCCCCAGGATCCAGACTGAGCAAGACCTTAAATCAGAGGAAAGGTTGATATTAAAACGAGTCAGCCCTGCACTCATTTTGCATAGATATAATGTATAGATGCATTAGATATCAAATCACAGTGTTTTGTAAAAGAATTTTAAAAAGTTAAAGCCAGTTCAGAGAAGGCTAGAGCTCAATTGATGATATTTAAAATGTGCTTGAAATGTTGGTGCTTCTATCAGATAAAAGGATTAAAATCAAGGTGCCTGAAAGAAGCAAATGACTTGTCATTCTGGGCAAGCTGCTGAACTAGATAACATATTTTTTTTCCCTTTTCCCTATAGAGCCTTGCATTTTTCTAACTTTGCTTTTCTTCATTCCTGTGCTTTATTACTTCATGTGAACCTCTTTCTTATATAAGATGATTAGCTATGATTAATCTGAAATGGATGCAATTAAGCACAATAGACACACTTGATCATAAGCATATCCTAATTGTCATATCTTGGAGCGTTGGTTTTGAATGCGTGCACTTTGGAAAGAAAATATTGTGAGACATTTTTTGTTCCTTTCTCTCCCCAGCATTTTCAGGCCAATCTAGAATCAACATACTCTCATTTTCATTCATGACCAAAAGTTGACACATGCTGTTCCTCCATTATTGTGACAATACTGATTTTTACAAAATGTCACTTTCCACAAATATCCTGACCTTTGAAGATTCTTCCCAGACCTCGAAAATCCATCTGGTCAGAACAATTGAAAACCACAACGTATTTTCCAAGGCATCTTCCCATATCTTTTGTTGTTTCTGTTTTGCCAGTCCCTGCAGGTCCTGCTGGTGCTCCTCCCATGCTCATACCTAATGCTTGAGCCAAAGTAATGTAACACCTACAAGGAAATAAGGAACAGGAATAAGCTCCTCTTATGGACATTTGGAAGACTTAGAGGTACTACAATGGCAGGATAAAATATGGAGAGGTAGTGCAAAAGAGAAGGCTATTTCATGATGTCCTCTAGATCAGTGGTCGCCAACTAGTAGGCTGGGGACCACTGGTGGTCCACAAGGAAATTTTGGTGGTCTGCAGAGAAATGTCACCCCCAAAGCAATTAATCCAGGCTGCGCAGGAACACAAGGCTGCGCCGCCCACATGGCCCGCAGGAACACAAGGCTTGCATCGCTTGCATTGCAAACAACATGAGGTACTGAGGGGAGGGGGGAAAGGGGGAAAGGGGGAAATTGCTCCACTCACCCCACACGCTTCGCCTGGCCACCAGGCTGCTTCTTTCTGCTTCTTTCTTCTTTTGGCTGCACACAAGGAAAGAAGCAAAAGTCTTTCTTTCTCTCCCCCAAACTCTGCCAGAAATGAGTCTTTGGGATTCTGCAAAGGCATCCTGCTCCAAGAGGCTCTTTCTGGCAGAGTTTGGGAGAATGAAAGAAAGACTTCTGCTGCTTCTGCTGCTTTCCTTGCATGAAGCCAAAAGTCTTCCCCCCCCCCCCCCCCGGGAACGGAGCTGGTATCCTGCAATCCCAAATAAAGAATGATTGATAGGTAGGAAAACAGGGTGGAGAATTTTCCTGCAGACTTTTTGGGGGATTTTCCCAGGGTCTCTGGTCCGCGGGATTTAAAATTATGGGTTTGATGGTCCCTGAGGTCCAAAAGGTTGACGACCCCTACTCTAGATGTTTGAAAGCCCATTTTAGTTACAGGCTATATTCTGTTGTTCTATGTTCAGTGCAATGGTGGTATGCTACCAGTTCAGATCGGTTCAGCTGAACCAGTAGTAAAAAAAACCAACGATCAGCTGAGAGGAGGAAAGAAATCCTCCACAATCAGCTGAGAGGAAAAAGAAGAGGAAAGTACAAGATCGGCCCTCCCACCTGCCCCTACACTTTTCCTTATCCTCTCAGCTGATTGGCACTGTAGATCTCAGCTGGTGTGGGGAAAGCTGTGCACCAGCATTGGGCAAAGCATGCCCAGCAAGCCATGCCCACTGAACTGGTGGTAAAACAATTTGAATCCCACTACTGGTTCAGTGCAGTCTGGTTGGCCTCTCTTAGCATTGTTTCTTGGGAACCAATTGTGTAGAGCCTTTTTTTATGCTGTATTCTATCAACCCAGCTATATTTTCCATCATTTGAGTTGGGGAAATACATTACATAATGAGATATGAATATGCCGTATGTTTCCCTCAGAGACAAAAAAACACAAACCTATCCCCCCCCAATGTAAAATTCAATATGATGCATAATCTAAATATATTCATGTAGAGAACCATGGAGATAGAGGAATGTTCAGAAACCATTACAAAAATAAAAAGGGCAGAAGGATTCCATGACCTCTGGGGAAAGAGTCAAAATTAGGAAGAGATTCAAGCTGGCTCCTTCTTGATTGACTGGGGTATAAAAAGGAGGGCAGGAAAATACAATCAAACTTACAAGATTCTATCAACATCGCATATCTCAATCAATTTTCAGTTTAGATTTCTTACAGAGTCTATTTCCTGATCCTGACAAGCCCAGAGTCAAATGAGGCTCCTTTATCTTCCACTGAATCTTCATTACAAACTCATGAGACATTTTCCATAACCAATACTGGAAAATGACACTGTGTCAGCGTATTTTTTTTTTCAACCTGTAAATATTCATACATGCCTCACCTGTCTGTGAGAGGTGTGATGACAAGACGGTCTGTACAGCCCAGAAATTCGTTTTGATATATGAAGGCCACATCTGTGATATTCACCATCATTTTATCTGCATCATCTTTGAAATAAAATCTGCATTGCTTCAGCCACTCAAAATCTGTAGGGCTCTTGATATGCATGCGGCACTATAAACAAAGGATTGTGTTATCATAGTTCAATATCAGAGTAAGTACTAACTGTACAGATATGCCTTCTACTTATTACTTGGAAACAGCTATTTTCACATGCAAAGTTAGCTCATCCTTGTGGTAACCACAGAATGCAATAGGAGTACACAAAAGTGATAAAACAATCCCAGCACATACAGTAAATACATGGTACAAGCTCTATGTCTGACCCTAACCTCAAATGGGATTTGAATATTGTTCTTTTTCTTCTGTCTTGGAAAAACTGAATAATCAAGCGATGAACTTGATTTATAATGCATTAAATTTGAGTAATGGATATTACTTTATGACTAAGAGCAAATATAACATGACTGGATTTAGAAAGATAATGGTGAATTAACTTAAAAAAATAGACATGAACCAGCATCTTCCTCTAGTCCCAGTCACTTTCCTTTAGAGGTCCATCTACAAGACTGAAGTAACCCTCAGCAAAAAAATTGTGTCTCCTTTTCTATAGGGTCTGAGGAGGTCATGAGAAGGGTAATCTGGGCTCACTGCATAGGGAAATCCCTAAAATTATCTTTTACAATGTAAAATAGGATTCTGTTAGTAGGTGTTGTCAAGCCTAACAAGAAGGCTATTAGATTATAAAGTCAAAGAAGCTTTGTAACATTAATAAATTCAGTAACATTTGGTCCAAAATGACTGACTGCATTGATTACATTATACATCACAGACACATCTTATTCAGAAGAATTCAGCCTTTCACTAGCAGTTATTTAAATAAGGTTTATTTTTTACCAGATCATCAAATATGTCCCTTTGGTGCACATGAATTGTGATCAGTGTCTCATATTTAATGCGTTCCACAGAATTCAGATCTTTGGTAGTCATGTCTATCAAGGTATTCAAGAGTTCTAAGAAAAATTGATTCGTTTTCTGCATCACTTTTTTGTCATATTTTGCATTGGTCAAAGCTTCTTCCGCTTCTCGTGTCCAGATCATTTGAATACCCAGCAAGCCAACCTTAAAAAATAATTTACATTGATTTTTACAGGGTTAACTGTTAAGCTTCTCAAATCCTTTTTTATTCGGCCAACCAATAACTGAGAAATTACACTTTTAAAAATTAATTTTATCTATGGGGCTTTTACACACTAGTGAAAACTGAAACTAGGACGAATAATCTCCCATCTCAAACCCCTAATCTGCCCATTTATGTATCAGAAGAGAGAAAAGAGGTGGCTGTATCTCCAATATTTACGCAAGCCTTAATTGATCTAATCAAAGGGACTGTGGAGTATAAAATGATGCAGGGTTTTGCAGCAATGCCTCATCATGGGAACAGCTCATGGGCCACCTTAGACTGCACTAGGAATCAAAGACTATTTCCTCAGAAGAAGCAGAGGTAGGTAACAAAGAGCAAAGCAAGTGAACTATCTCAGGGAGAACACCCACCATCAACTGATAATCAGAATGTATAAGCAGGACTTTCCTCTTTCTTCCTCCAGATTTAGAAGTCCCTAAATATCTGCTCTCATTTCATTCAGATTCTGAAACGAAATTAGAGCAGTTGCTACAAGTCATGCTGAGGGGAACAGGTGCTGGGTGCAGAAGACCTTCCTTACCAAATACTCTCCTCCTCAAGCTAGCCTGCACCCCAAGGATTGCCCTTCTTTCTGCCGTGCTTACAGTCTCCCTCTTCAACAATCCAATACATACTTTCATCATGTGGAAGAAACAGAACTATCTCTGTTCTTGATTAGTTTCC